ACTCGTTTTCCCGTGAAAAGTGAACAAAAACACGTCCGCTAGCGTTACCCGACAAACAAACAGACAGACAGAAATTGAGATAAGGCTTGTTTCGGCTTCTCTGGTGTATGAAACGTGAAGATATGCAAAAAGTACACTATTCTAAGCAATGTACAGACAAAACTCTTATTTTATTTATATAAATAGAAGATGATATACGTATCACCAACACGACAAAGAATAGTGTAATAATATTTCTCAATAACATACGTATCACCAACATGACAATAGAATAATGTAATTATATTCTTCTCACACTCTATAATTTATTACAATTCATAAACATACCTTTCTACAAACTTCTGAAATAAGTCTCCTCTCAAATGACGGAAGACTTCTTCTATGTATGGCTGTAAAATATAAGCAAATAAAGATAAAAAAAAAAAGGTTCTCAATTATCTGAAAGACTTTAGATTAATAGTGGCCAAGTCATAGTTAAATCCCTGCCCTAAGTCCAAGTGTTTTAATTTCAAATATTTCATAAGTTTGTACGTTTTATGGAAGTTTTGTATATTTCTCCTAATTAACATAGAACAAAATATTTGAATACACATTTCATCATCCAGTTTGGTTTCTAGTTGCAACTTTAACACATGACCGGCAAAAACAACAAAGTAAAACCAATGAGGCACAAGTGTTAAAAGTAAATTATTTTTAATTAGTAAAAGGAAAAATAACCGAGTTTCAAGAACACTAGAGACAGATCCACACGTATATCTAAGGACTTTAACTCAACTTCTAAATAGACAAAACTATCACCAAACGTAGGTGTAGAAAGTAATTCAGAAATTTGTCTGCATCGAGTGAGTTATAAAAAATTTGACTCTAACCTGAAATAAATTGACGGGAACTTCATTTTTCATGAGGTATTTCTGGACATGGCTGATTGCTTCTTTGGAGTAATTCTGATAATCATAAAAACTTTTTTTTTTTTCCAAAAACATCAATACGAAATAATATTTTTCTTCATACTTAGTTTTCCAAAATATACATCTTCATTGTCTATCATCATTACTTCAATACAGCTCTACCAACTAATATGTTATGAGTGGTTGAACGAGTACAGCATTAAAACAATGGTTAGAACTGATGTACGATGTTTTAGATGTACTTGTGTTAGTTTCTCTAACATGAAATTTCTGACAAACTTGTTTTAGACACTCAACCATTTTGTTCTTTACTGGTACATAAATTTCTAACTCAAGCAAATCACTTGATACATTTATAGTCATCTTTCGAATATTAGGTATAACACAATGGATGACTTGTTTTAACCAAGACTGTTACGATGTACATGTATAGCACTTACTTCGAAGAAGAATGTCTACACATTTTAAAGGTTTGAGGTAAAAAAAAGACAATGGTACGTTCTCAAATATTTCATTCATTTATTACTACCGACGATTCACCAGTAAAAATATCGGCCTTGGTAGTAAAAAGTGAAGTACTTGTGAAATGTACAGTTGTCTTTGTTTTCCTCAATTCTATAATCAGAATTTCACCAAGTACTGATAGTTTCCACTATTAATTATATATCCATATATCCACATTTGATAATCAATTACTCATCGGGATCATTAATCAATTACATTCGATTATCCTCACACACGATTTGGACAACTGGAATGATTGAAAATAGTAATAATTGGAAACACTAATCTTGATTAGTTTATTTTTGTTGTGACATCTACAAATTTAATTCTAATTTCGGTTCTTCAATTATTATTATTTTTTGCCACTAATCGATTAATTGAGTTCATATCTCAGTTGTAATAACAGCATTACAAACATGTATAGTGAATAATTTTCAGTTTATAAGTTTCAATCTGGCATGTCGTAAATAATTGAGATGTTACAAGAACTTTACAAAAATGGAAACATTCAAGACTATTCCCATAATTATCATTACAAATATTAATACAGTATTTACATTTGAGTGACACAAAAATTAACAGATTAAAAAACAGGTCTTAATGTAGGCGTGTCATACATACATTGTATAAAAACATTCAGTGCAGAAGTTATTATATTAAGCTAACCTAAAACATAACGTTGAAAGAATGGAATTACAGAGAAAATATAGTACGACTTTATGTGCCATTCTCCCGACCAAATTCTCCAAATGAAATATGTACTATTTACAAGTATTTTTAACCAAATACCGTTGTTTCTGAAACTTTTAAATATAAAGAGACAGTAATGATGCTCAATCCTCCATGAACTGAAGTTTTAAGACAGACAATGTTCCAGTGTTTGTGTTGAATTAAGTATTGACACTGAAATATAATCTAAACTTCAGGCCAATAGAGTCCACACAAAGCTACAGACTGTTTATAATGGTACAGTAGTTGAGTTATAGTTAACTAGGAGGCATTAGGAGGCAGTTGTAGATAACATTGCTCTATTTTATCTACTCCACTACAAAAATATGTTGCTTATTTTAATTTAAGGTGAAATAAAATATAAAACTGTCAAAGTATTGTAAATGAATTTAAATCTGTACCAGAAACAAACATAAAACAGACTTCTCTCTCTCATTAAGCTATAAAAATGAGATACAGTATTAAACAGACCATTATTAGCTATTCTTAAAAGCTTCAGAAAATATGAGATACAGTTTCTAGAAATGATGATGTTTACTTACATGGGAGTGACATAAAAGCTCCTTCATGATGAAGTTATCATACAGCTCTCTGGCTGCTTGTCGTCTTTCTTCCACAGTATCCAACTTCTCATACCTCTTGATCTGTAACAACACATGTTCATTATTACCAGTACAGCAAATGAATACAATACAAACACCTGTAGAGGTTATATAAACAGATAGGGGCTTCTCATACAAGGACACTTTAAATAATATATGTAAAAAAGTTTACAAACAACATATTTAAAGAAACTGCATGTTGTAATTACATATGTTATTGACACAAGAGGATCTGTTTTACTTACATGTATAAATGTATAGTAAGCTCCTTATTATATATATATAATGAAATACATCGAAAGTACATGATACAGAAAGTATTCTATGAACAAGTAGCACTTGGACATTAACCCTATGTACACAGGTGGGGATCAAACTGCATAAGCCATGACCTTTTACAGAGTGCCATTCAACATGTTATTATACATTTGATGTCAAAGTTATAAACTATTCATTTTACCCTATCTTACCGATTTAGCAACAGTTTGTGGTAGAGTAAATACCGGATACAATATACGAGGATAATGAAAAAACTTTGAAGGTACTAGAGGTTATTCAAATGCAATATACAAACTGTTCAACGTGGAAAAGTGTTTTTATTCATCACATGAAAATCATCTTTCATTTCGACTTGTCAGAGTCTGAGTCGGATGAACGTAGTCGAATAACAAAAATATCTTGGCTACAAATATGTCTGTAACACACATTTGAGTTTTTGTGTACAACAGACTTGTACATTTTACTAAAAGCTTACCATCTTTTGCGTAGATAAAGTCACGGACTATGCATCTCATCTACAGAGCTATAGTAATTAATATTTTTTGTTAGCTAAGGAAAACCTAAACTCCCCATTCCATTCAAAAGAAAACTGAACACTATTCAAATCATAGTTCATGTTACATTCTTTTTTTGACATTTACACAACTGAAGATGTAGTGGTAGTGATCATCAGGTTAAGAACTGGTTTTTCTTAGTTTAATGGCAAGAGATTATAGCATTCACAACAAAAACCAAAAAAAGAATTGAATATGAACTATGATCGTTGAATAGTTTTCAGTTTTCTTTTCAATGGAAGGGGGAGTTTAGGTTTTTCCTTAGCTAACAAAAAATATTAATTATTGTAGCTTAGTAGATGAGATGCATAGTCCGTGAATTTTCCGTAGGATGTGGAAAAAACCAAGGTAGGCTCAGTATCACGTTCGTTTAGACAGTGATTTTGGTAATAACACTGGTGTTGTAATTTTTCTAATAACAATTATTCAATAGAAGTTGTATGAGTACTGATCACTACCGAAACAATTTATCAAAAAAAAAAAAGAACCAGTGACAGTGCTTCTTGAAGTTAAAATCACCAAATCAGATGTTAATAAATTTAGAATCAATTGATTAATAATAATAAATCAAATATCCATCCCAGTTATTCAGTTTTAAGGTCTTCATCTAACGTTTCTAACTGATAAAGATGAGTATCAGAAAGAATAATTTCCTGAAAAGTCGACAGGCTTTGCTTTAGTATTCTAACCCATTCGCTTAGACATCACATTTAAAGTGAAATATATGATATAAACAAACAGCTTATCACAATAGCATTTCCTAAGGTGGTACAAACACGAGTTCTGTAGTTAAAGATGTTAGTTTGTATGCACATCAAAAACTACTGAAACCATACGGTTGAGCCATATGGCAAGAACCACAGTAATGGCATGTTAATGTAAACATTGTGTCAGCACATTAAACAACCTTTATCAAATATTTAAAAGAAGACGTATGCACTTCTGTGTCATACTGCAAGTTTTTGGAGACCATGGAAGTTCACAAATGAAAATCCTGGGTTCTGTTTTCCTCCAGTTTCAGAACACAAAAAGAGCATCTGACTTTTTGATTCACATAATCTGTATGTACATGTACAGGTGCTTACTCCTAATGTGTACATACCTAAGTCAGATATTTTGATAATATTTATACCATTTAAATGTCAGTAAACTGTAAACTTAAAGTGCTTATTTCAACTAAAATAATGAATTACAGATTTAATAAAAACAATTTCAGTAGGAAGTCATATACAAGAATTTTCAATTTATTTTTGCACAATTCTTATTTTTAAATCCCTGTAAAACATCATAAGTAGTAATATTATCTTCAAAGAATCCATTTATACATATGATGAAAATACTAGTTACACATTCTTGAAACGGAAATTCATGAAATTACATACAAGATGTCCCACAAGAGCACAATGTACACAAAACACAAGTAATTTAATGGATCAGTTGAAAAGTATACTCTTATTTCAGCTAGCAATAGCCCTTGAGTGCCTGTTCTCACGGTTATGATACTAGCACAGATCTACAAGGGTCCATAAGTTCTGTGGCATATTACAGACATAAACACGACAGGATAGTAATAGTTACAAACTTACAGTTTGTGGTGGATGAAGAACAGTTTTTACTAAACACCATTTACTATCATTACAGCTTTACACGTGCCCCTCAAGATACTGAGTATATATTCAATTTCCAGCACAACAGGTATCACAGTAGTTATTCCATCAGTAATCTGCTTACCTAGTCACCTTCCC